GGGGGGGGTGAAAGAAAAAAGGTATTCTCCTGTACCCAAAGAGCAGAGTATAATTATTTAATGAAAAGCATGAAAGAAATGAGAAAACTCTACTTCCAAAAAGGCAATCTTAGGCAATTTAGAAAACTGGAATGCTTGGTGAATATTCTCAGAGAGTTTTATGTTAGAATGTATAATAATAATATTATAGTAATAATAATATAGCATCATGCTTATAATTTGCTTCTTGTAGCATTCAGAGTATCTTAATCACTATTTCTTTTATAATCAGAGAAAAATATGTTCTTCATTAGTTCTCTGAGTTGTTCTGCACAGTCCATTAATGAAGTACTCAGTTTCATGTTTCAAAGCTATGTACAAGCAGGGTCCATTAAGACTGCACAGCCACTCTCTCCCAACACCAAATATTTAAATTAAGATTAGAAAATGATGGTGTGATCTTTCTGCAGAAAACACTGTCCTTTCCCTGTGCTTGGCAAATTCTTTTTTAGTTAAAAAAACCCCACAACTGTTTTCCTTGGATCTGAACAGCACTGCATACTCTTAAATATTTATAATAACTATATTTTAGTGGCAGAGAACTTGATATTTAAGGGGTTTTATAGGTGCATTTCAAATTAGTAAGGTATTTTAGGATATTTGCAATGTTAGGATCTTTTCAAACAACTCTCATGTTTAAGTACAATAGTTACCTCCCGAGTCTAAAATTTCAATTTTATCATAAGCACAGACCTTAGTAGAATGGAAATTTTAACCTCTGTCAGAACTATTGTAACAGAAATGTAATAAAATTTACATTTTTTTGCATATTTTGGTATATAATACAAGATGCAATTGAAAATTAGTCTAATTCACCAGACATATGAGCAAGCTAGTCTCAAAATTCTCTGCTATTATCAATATGGTTTCAGAATTGTTCAGTTAAGTGTCAAGAAGAGAAGATATTTTGAATGGGAAGAAAACAGCTTTCTTGTTTTTTTTAAGTTGCTGTTAACCATAATAGTTTTTGCTTCACAGAACTACAAATGAATACAAATATATGCTTTCACATCCATTCTGATCACTGTAAGTGGTATACAAGAGCTATGGAACAAGACAATAAAATGCTTAAAAATTCCTTTGTAAGTGTGAAGATCTCACTTATTGTTACAAAAGCATGTTATTGTACAATTTTTTTTAAAAGTGTATTTTAAACATTTCTTTATTTCTGATATTAATTTCCAATGTGTTATCATTAAATCAGTGGCAAAATTAGTGTTGCAGTAAAAATGCTGGATCAAAGATTCCTGTACTATTTTTTTATTTAACTTATTTGGGCATTTATTCTAAATTCTAGGTATTTGAACATAGTTGTTTAAGGTGATATTAGATCAAAATCGACTCATTATCCAACCACTCATAATAGCTTTTGTTTCTCATCTCATTTATACTTTCATATTTCATTTCCTCTATTTGTGTGTCACGCTAGTTCCCACCATACTGTAAGCTAAGTTACCGAGACATGTTGAAGATGTCCCTGCTCATTGCAGGGGGGTTGGACTAGATGACCTTTAAAGGTGCCTTCCAACCCAAACTATTCTATGATTTGATGTCTGAAGAGTGCTTACGTAGCTTCTTCCACTGAAAAGCTAAAGGGGTGATAACCTTTGGCAAAGGATGGGTAACAAACACTTAAGGCGTGTTGGTATCTTCAGTACCTGAGGCAAGTTTGTGTTTTAGCTCTTGTCCTGCCACAATTATATGGCAAGGTTACTCAGGCTACAGTGAAAGGGTTTAAATTAGTGTGATTTAAGTCACGGCTGAAGCAGACAGAGAATGCACACTCAGACATTACAGTAACTTATGTGGAAAGTTGCTAAATTGCTGCAACTTGGTAATGCTTATCTTATGCCCATGAAGCAGTTTGAACAGCTAAATAATCAGAATTGCACAAACAAATAAAGTTAAAAAAACCTTGGCTGTGCTGTGATAGCTTAGAGTTAATTGGTTTTCATACTTTGACTTTTTTTTTTCTCTTTTAGAACTTTCCAAAAGAAAGATGCATGGGAAATGGAACATCAACAGACTGCTATGTTCACAGCCAGTGGATACCACAGAAACTGTAGTCCTGCTTTATATGGCCAAGGCAATATCACTGGTTCAAAAAGTGACAGCACTTTATCTTCTCATACACTTCACAGAGGCCATGAAGAGAAAATAGATTATAAATCTCCATCACCACCAACGGGGTATCCGTTGGGCTTTGGTGGGCCGTTTCCTGAAAAGGGCGGAACAGCCAGCTTACTGAGCCCTGCTTACAGTGCAGAAGAAATCAAATTATCAGTAAGTAACTCTTTTCCTGAAACATATATTCTCAGAGATCCATCTGTGGACCAAATACAGCCTTGGAGGAGCCAACATCACTCCTGTTGTTATTATTTATACAGTGCCAGCCCAGCAAAAATGAAAATACCTTATCCTAACATAAATGCAGTTTTTCTGGAGATTAAACATCCCCTATTGGGCCATACCTCTGCACTAATAACAATGGTGATAATTACCTGCCATTATGTGACTGAGAGAGATTTCTACATTTTAGCTCATTGCCTTCTATATTGGGTCACTCTGCTTTGTATTGCCTTCTGTAAGGGCACTCTGCTTTAAGTGTATTTCCATAATGCCTGCAAACATACTGCCTTAAGTGCTGTTAGAAAAATTTCTACAGCATTCCGTTGGTGGATGAAATTAGAGGAACTGCAGCAACTATTTTCTATGTGTTAGCTATTGTATTTGAAAAGGAACAGAAATGATAACTGCTGTAATCCTTATTTTTCTTAAAATGAAAGAGTAATAGTGCAGCATTCTTCCCTTCAGTTCTCATAGGCTGGAGATTACCAACCTCCATGGCAAGTGGGATAAACCCCACTTTGCCTAGGGCAACTTCTTAGGAAAAACTTTCCATAATTCTTTGACTTTAGATCTCCCTTTAAATTTGAGCTTTATCCTCTTCCTTAGTATCTTGTATTCTTCCTTAGGCCTCCACTACAGGCCACCATTTTTTTCCACTTAAAAACTCAGCACTTATTTTCCAGACCTCAAATCATGCAACCACACCATCATTAAATAATGGAACTAACAGATTAGTGAGGAACGGGCTGTAGCCATCTCTCTGTCCAGCTGTGATACGTGCATCTTTGTACCCAGGGGACCCTGAACTGCAGGTGTGTGGCTGGGCCTGTAGAGAGAGAAGAGGGAAGGCTGCAGCATTTACTGGGGGGAACCAGTAAGCAACTTTCTTGCCACTCATCACCTTAAGTAGGAGAGAAGAGGTATCATGACACCAACAATCATCTTCAAGCAGTTTGTGGTGGTCGTACCCCAGTACTGCTGTCCACTTCAGAAATGGGTGCACATCCTTCCCTATCAGAGACATGGCTGCTGGAAGACTGTCTTCATAGTCCAGAATCTCACTGTTGATAAAGGAGCTCTGTAGTGGTGGCCTGCCTGGGAAGCTGGGATTGCAGTGCAGCCCTTCACTGACTGTTGTTCTGGCAGCTGTGCCCCAGTAGTCAGAGAACAGTGAGAACCACATAGTCCGGGATGTTTGACTTCACTTCCATTTTTATGTCCTTATGCTTCACAGGAATATTAAGTAAATGGCTTTTGGCTTCTCATGGGTTGAGGGTTTTCCTCTGTAAACTGCTAATCATGAAAAGAATTGTTTGGGCTTTTTCAGGAGAGCCTGAGAGACACCAATTCTCCTCCTCTCTTCTGTCAGAAGTGTCAGACACAGACACCAGACCGCAAAGCTTCTACTTCCAGGCAGCCCAGGGAAAATGTCCATTTTGAGACACTTTTGCAAGCTGCGGGGAAACTATTTCCCAGCTGGCACTCAGGACAGGGTCAATGCCAAGACAGTTGACTAGATTATAATGAAAACACATTCCAGCCGGTGTGTGGGCGACATACATAATGAAACTATTAAGCAAGGGATATTTCTCATACAGTGTCCAAGTCCAAATCAGTGGCACTGAAGCAGGTACAAGTTCAGAAGATCACCAAAATTAAATAATCACTCAGACCGACCGACATTAGATACCACAGCTTTAGTGCAGAGATTGTTCAGCAGTCTGTTACTCTGGAGCTCTGTGTTCAAATGGAAAGCCATTGCATCAAGAAGAGGGAAAAAACATACAATATGTTGTAAACCAGAGTTCTTGGACAGAGTTTTCAAGAATGATGTTTCACCTAAAGTGAAATCTCCAGTATGTTCAGAACTTCTGAAGATGTTATAAGGGACTATTTTACTGAAGAATATTTGTAGGAACAACTGAAAACATCAGAATTGCAGGTGATGACCTGATACCTACCAAAATTACTCTGTCAGTATTTAGGGAAGAGACAAAACAGTCTGTAGGGTTTCAGACAAAGACATCTCTCCTCCCAGTAGAGACTCTTCAGACAAGTATAGTATATGTTCCACTGAAACCTCCATCCTTTCACGTTCCTACTTAGCAGTCACATGTGTGGAGGAAGTCGCTCCTGCCTTAGAGTAAACTAGAAAGCTCAGCTGGGATTCACTGGAAATTCCCATAACCCCAAAAATTCTTGTTTTAAGGCTTTCCAAATCTAGGAAGTACCCTTTCTCTGAACAGTACTTTGTGGTGCGCTCTCTTTCTGGAATGAACAACTTCAGAAAATAGTTGCCTGATCCATTCCCAATCTCTGAGAAGACTATTCCGTGGAACAGCCCAATGTCCAGCTTCAAGTTTAATCTTTCCCACAGAAAATACATACATACATACAATAGCCAATTTGTAAAATACATACAAAACCAATTATTTGCTGCTTCAGAATAGTCCATTTCTATACAGTTTCTCCATTTCAGCTGGAGCAAGCAATTATGTACATTGTGCTTCCTGATCCGGATCTTCAACTCTTTAATGACTGACAGACATTGTCTGTTCTTGCTTTCAAGAGTGGGAAAGACAAGAAAGACTTAAGCTGTAGCAAGGAAAATTTAAATTAAACATCAGTAAACTTTCTAACATTAAATATGAGAAATAAATAGATTGCAATGGAAAGTTGTGGAAATTCTACCACTGAGCATTATTAGGAATGATTTTGACAGTCTGGATCCTACCCTGAGGCATGCTGTGGTCCATGCCTCCCGCTCTTAGGTATTGCTATTAACTAGCTGGTTAGGTACTTAGGCCCTCCTAAAAACCTTCCTATGTGGCTTGGAAATTTCCTAGGCATCTCAATTTTGATTTTCATATATGTTGAAGACAGGCATCTGTACCTGCCGCCTAAAATGTATTGCAGTGTAGGGTTAGAGGACACTACCCCCAAAAGCTCCCAAATTTAATCACAGTGACACTAAAATTAGCCAGGCCAATTTCTAGTCTTAGTGTTACAAGAACTTTCCTGGAAAGTAAAGAGGCTAAACATGAGCAGACTTTAACACTCTGGGATTTGACCACTCATTATTTGACCACTAAATGTTAGAATATCCCAAGTGTTAAAGCTTCCTTGCTGCCCTGCTGAAGGTGCATCCAAGAATGCTGGGACAATTCATGGGGCAAGAGAGAGATTAACTCTAGGCAAGTTAATTAGGCACTCTGTGAGAGAGAAGAGACCTAGCTTCCTGGAGTGCTTCTCGCCAGCAATCCTGAGTTAATTCACAAGCACCTTGGTAGTTCTTGCTTAATAAGAAGACATACTTTCATATATGAAAATATGCATCTCTATCAGCTGCACTTATCATGTACAGCAAATGATGAGACAAAAAGGTGATTCTCATTACTGGTCTACAGCCAAAAAATAGGGGATCAGCTGAGACTGTAGAAATTAAAAAGTCCAGTCCTTGTTGCCTAACTACCCAAATAAGTTAGGTTAAAAGCTTATCAGCGCATCCATTTCTGTCCAGCTCCAGTTAGAAAAACTGAAAGACATAAAAGAAGTGTTATCTGAAGAAAAGAAATTAAAAACTAAGGACCATGAATCCCATCTGAGACATGGATTAAAGCATTTTCTTTATGTTTTTTCTTTCTCAGGCACTGAAAGTAAAGACAATAAAGAACATAGTGAAAGAATAGACCAGAGGCTTCGAAAGCAAAGCTTAGTTGCTAACAAGAAATGTTGCCTTTCAGACCTGTTTAGATACAACCTTCTCTCAAAGTGTGTAAAAACCAGTGCATTAGGGACCTATCTAAAATGATAGTCAGTGATGTCTGACCCTCAGGTAAGGAGCTGTAGGGAACCACGACCTGCTTATTCTGAGTGATAAATATGCTTCTTTCAACTCTGAGGAAATTCAGAAATGTCTCATTTGGAGTTTACAGTGTATTTCAAGAACAAACATCAATGTAAGTACCAATTGAAGCAAAGGACAGTAGCATTTTAGGAAGAAGGCATAATGGTTTTAAACTAAAAGAGAGTAGATTTAGACTAGACCTAAGGAAGAAATTTTTCACAATGAGGGTGGTGAAACACTGGCACAGGTTGCCCAGAGAGGTGGTAGATTCCCCATCCCTGGAAACATTCAAGGTCAGATTGGATGAGGCTCTGAGCAACCTGCTTGAGTTGAAGATGTCGCTGCTCGTTGCAGGGGGGTTGGACTAGATGACCTTAAAAGGTCCCTTCCAACAAAAACTATTCCATATTCCATGATTCTATGATTCTATGATCATGAGGCCAATATGTTTCTAATGACAAGTCAGCAACTGTAAACATTGTTATAATGAATCTCTGAGAATCTCTCATAACCTGATATAACATTTCTGAAGACTAGCACTCATGTAAATCTGCTGCCTGTATGGAAAAGTCCAACATGACTTTTTTTCTCTAGGTGATGACACCCATTAAATTAATGTTTCAGATTCACAGTTGCATAGTTTCTTATGCTTCTCACTGGAAGTATTCTATTTGCTCAGTATCGACTCAGTGATTTCAGAGCTGGTATTCAGTAAGCAAAACGCATCGTGATTCTTTAAGTAAAGCCTCCAAATCCAATGTCTTCTTCATAATACAAAAGCCTTCTTCAAATACTTCAAAATAGTACTGCCATTTCAATCCAAATGTCACAAGGAGATATATTTGTGACCTCGCCCATGAAGGAATAAAAATACATGTAGCCATGGCATTCAAAATCTCAAGAACAACCCTTCAAATAAAAACAATGACGATTGCTTATGGATGAGAAATCATGCATGTGTTTATGAGGAAACCCAGAAGGCAGGTGATCTCCTTCCAGAGTTTCTCAAACATCAGAAGATTAACATTCTTTCTTGTCTCTGCTAGTGCAAGGGTTGATAGAAGTGTGTTGTGGCACAAAGTGATTCAATACCTTTGGGTTCCTTATTCCTGTGCAGCAAATTAAGTCACTTTTTCTTCCCTGCCCTGTTAAAACGCTAATTTGGAGGGACTGAGAAAAGGAAGATTCTGCTTTATCTGTGAATTTCATTTTAGGAGCCCTATACATCAGAAAGGCTGTCTAACTCTAGAAGGGTGGTATTACATTCATAATTTATTTCCAGCTATCGCTTACTTGCTGTACTTTGAAAAGAAAAGGAGTTTCCTATAGGAAATCTCTAAATTTCATCCCAAGGTTTGCTGCAAAGAGTTTGAATAGAATAGTGCTTTAAAGCATTTCTCTAGGCAGTATCTTTCAGCCTGAAAAGCTTCTAAGGGGCAGTTTTAAACCAGGCTGAAAGCAAAGACTGTTTCTAGTTGCCATGGAAATAGGGAATACCCCATTCTGATACCCTAGAATAAAAATTGACAGGTGTAATAGAATTGACCTGTTCCACAAAACATTTGAATATTTAAATCATTTGAAGCCATTCCTATTTGATGTGCTGACAGATAAACTCTCCTTTTTACATTCTAGGAAAAACAAAACCAGAGATTATAAACTACTAACTCAATCAGTTATTAAAAGTATTTAATATGTGATATAATTAAGATAATAAATGTCAATCATCTTGCTTGATATATGATCATATAAAGACAGAAAATTATCTTTCTCTTACTCAGTATTACAGCTCCTATACTCAGTTTTTTCCCAGTCAACTGTTAAAAATTCATGTCATAAAATTGTATTTATCTATACAAATAAACATCGAATTTATTTAAACAAGCGTAGTATCTTTAGGGAAATAAAAATTATTTCATATTTCTTTTGATAAAGACATTGCAATGAATGCATCTTAAGTACTAGCAAAAAGAATTAACAAAAATTGCTGCTTAAAAATTTAGAACTTGTTCCAGCAAAGATTCACTTATGTCCTTTGCTTTATACAACTCTGCACCCCATTACAACCATTTTAAGACTGATTTTGGTATGGTTTATGTTTCAGTCTACTAAATGCTCATTAAATGGAAAAAAGATTTTTCAGTGCACTACTTGCAGGGAATAAAATTTAATACATTCTCCAGAGCATCAGGACTTGAAGTTGATAGTACTGAAATCAGCATAGGTTTTCTTCCTTTCCTCAGAAAGCATCACATCACAGAAGCAGAGAGCTAAAATTACAGGAGGCAATCAGCAGTACCCAATACTAGTTATAGTCTCTAATTCCAAAAATCAGACTATTGTCCTCTGTCCTGGTCGAATTTATACAGGTGACGAGCATAACCTTTAGTTAATCCAAAGATTTTGGAGGTTCTGAAGCAGCTTAATTCTGTCTAATGGGATATTTAAAATTTTAATGGCAAATCTACATCCTAATGCTGTGAATATCACAGGTATTCAAATACCATGTTCACATTATGTCATTTAGGCACCTTGTCCTGGTTTGACCTTCCTGATAGCTGGTGTAGTGCTGTGGTTTGGATTTAGCATGAGAATAATGTGATAACACACTGAAATATTTGTTGTTGCTGAGCAGTGCTTACACTCAGTCAAGGACTTTTCAGCTCCCCATGCTCTGCTGGCTGGGGGGTGTACAAGAAGCTGGGAGGGGGCACAGCCAGGACAGCTGACCCAGACTGGCCAAAGGGATATTCCCTACGAGATAACATCACACTCGGTACATGAACTGGAGTTGGCTGGAGAGCGGGAATCACTGCTCAGGTTTGGGCTATAGATCACTGGGTGGTGAGCAATTTTGTGTTGTGCATCACTTGTTTTTGTATATTCCTTCATTATTATTGTTATTTCCTCTTTCTTTTCTGTCCTATTAAACTGTTTTTATCTCAAACCACAAAGTTTTTTTTTTCCAATTCACTCCCCCATCCCACCTTGGGGGCCGGGGAGAGCAAGCGGCTGCCTGGTGCCTAGTTGCCGGCTGGGGCTAAACCACAACACAGCTGAATGCCTTTAATGTATGCCCAAATTCATGTTTACTTGGAAAGATATAAAGCGTTACAGCATTATTAGCTGCTGTAGGTTAGGATTTTTTCAAATCTAAAATTTGATAATGTAAACATGTTGTAGTACTTGCTGTTTTTTACTAACCATGATTTTCTATTCATTGCTCAGTCTCCCCCTGAGATGTCCTTCCTTGCAACAGCAGAAAAGTTCCTTCAAGAGGAAGAGAAACACACAAGAGAGTTTGAAGAACGTTTAAATTCGCACCTTGAAGAACTGCAAAGACATTCGGAAAATACCCTAAAAAAATATGCCAGGATACAGCAAAGCAGGCATACTTAAGCCAGTTACACAATTAAGAAAATAAAACCAAGTAATCACTCATGAGTTTCTTAGAACTAAAACCTGCAACTAGCTGCTTAATGTATTTAGGCATAGTGCCAATAGCATGTATTTTTAACACCAAGATTTCAATGAGATAATCATTATCCTATGGTATATTGTAACTTGACTATACTACAAAATATCATACTCTAAGTATATTCTAACATATACAGGTTGGTTTTGCATAGATAAATTGTGTGCAGCAGAGACCTTGTTGCAGAACTGTAAATTAAGTAGGATACTTTCAGTTCTGTGATGTACAGAGGGCTAATAAGTGGAATTATTCTCTTGAAAATATAATCAGCCAAGAGATATTCGCTAGATTGCAGAGAACAAGAATAATAGGGGCCTTTAGTCATGTCATAGCTCCTAGCATAAAGAGCTTATCTATGCTCTGGTTATTCTTGGCTATAGAAAATAGCCTTTGGGACTCTTGAAATGAGAAGTTTGAGCTCGCTCTTTCTTACGCTCTAAGCCATGCAGATCTGTGAGGGGAACATGGATAGACGCAGCACGTATTTTGAAGCCACCCATATTGCCCCTTTTACCAGACCTGTAAACTCCACCTGGGGCAGAGCCTGATCTCTTTACATGCTTTACATTAATACTTTACAACTTTTAAATCCTGTCTTCAAAAGTACCTGTTTTGCTATTGATGTTTTGATACTATGCTGGCTCATTGTTTACTACATTGGAATAGGGAAAAAAGCCTTTAACTTCAGACAACTTGCGATCAGTCTTAGGTAAGGGCCTAAGTTCTTTATTTTTTTCTACAGCATAGGAAAACATTATAAAACTGAGCAGTTAATTCAACTTCATGGGCCAAAAACTGCATAATGTTGAGATTCCTTTTATTTGCAATTCATACTGAATTCTATTGCTGTGCAAGCGAAACAGAAATTACAGACAGTGTTGATGAACCACCAATTTCAGTGAAAGATACTGAAGAACTGCTTTCCAGCATATACTGTTGCCAACTTCCTGGAAAAATCTGGATAAAAATAATACCAGACTGTCAAACAGCTCCAGTTTGTGAATGAAAGAAGTCTCATTAATATTCAAGACCACAGTAAAAATGTAAATTGTTTTTGGGTTGTATTTCCACTAGACAAAATACACTACATCACACTTACACAAAGTACCAAGATTTTAAATACCAGTTTGGCTCAGTTTGCAATAAAATGAGTAATGAAAATGAGGACATCAAAGAACCTTTTACAGGAAAATTCAGGAAAATTACTAGATTCAGCTGGAGGAACGAGGACCGAATAAAAAGATGATGGAAGGACATCTGAACAAACTAAATATATATGCTCCTCAACTTAAGCGGAGATGCATCTGGGAGTTTTAAAAGAACTAATGAAAAAACTTAGGACCCTCTGGAATTGAAGCTGATTTTTAAGCTGGGGGAAGATCTGTAGAAGCAGAGAGATGGCAAAATGTTGTCTTTCAGAAGGGCAAGAGAAAAAAAAAAAGGGATATTCACCAGTTAGCTGAGTTCTTTTGCCACTGCAAGATTTAGACATACAACAAGACAGCGTGCTCCTGTTCTTCAAAGAGATGTTACGTGCCTGAGTCCAGTGCAGGTCTGAGGATCCCTCTCATGATACAGATCTGTGTGATGATATAGAATGAATGAATGAATGAATGAAATTATCAGAAAATTAGTAAGATTTTTTTCCTAAAGCTTTTTAAGATCCAGCCAACTTACTAATAATAACAGAGTTAGATTCAGCCTGGCTTTTGTGTAACGCCATATAATAAACTCCCCGTGAAAAGCACTGAAAACTGCAAAGTACCCATATCTGAACAGCCTACTTGTTTACTGTTATTTCCTTCTCAGAGCAGATTATGCCACAAATGTGCTGAGACAGTATGGATCAAAGTGTCATTTTATTAACACATACTTACCTGAAAGGTCACCCTTCTCTTGTTAGCCAAAATCAGCACAAGTTCCTCATCTGACAATCCCCTGATTTAAACAAGAGCCCGTCACTGCCAGAGCACAGCCAGACCCATACTGCTGGTTCTGAATACTTTAGTTGTATTAAAAGGTAGAAACTTGATTGAACTGGTGAGAGGTTTCTAAAGAAAAATACATATCCCTGATGTTATCCTGCCAAAAATAGTTTGTACATGTATCACATTTCAAGTGGTTTGGATAACTTTTTAAAGAATGATGGACAGCAGAAGTAATAAAGACTGAGAAATTGTATACCTTATGAACAGGGATCGGAAATGTATGTATATTGTCAAAAAATGAATAATCAGAAGGGTCCAAGGCTATAGATGTCTGAAAGCACCAATAAAAATGAAAAAAATGAATTATTAATCATAAGTTCATTTGACAGGACAAGGTGCAATGTTTGGGAGCTATGGATTACCCAAAACATACAAAAAAGATTCTATTCTACTTTGTGAATAGCTGGGCAATGGAAAATTCTTGTAAGCTGCTGGACTACTTTTATGATTTTTCAAAGCTTTTTAGTAAAAGCATTTTTTTGGCTCCCAGTTCAAAGACTTGTTTTAAATAAAAAGAACAATGGTTCAGGCTGCCACCAGCTTTTTTCACTGGCAGAAAACCAGAGGTCATGTCCTCACAGTTGCCAACGTGTTTCATCGAGATATAATTTTGAAATAGTTGATGGTAAAAAAGCTGCCAGACCATTGCTGTCCAATTCACTTCCCAAAATTTACTCTCATGGGGCTGTCGGTGAAACAACAGTAACTGAACAGAAACGTTTGAAAGTGGTTCACGTGAAAGTTGGGTATTTAGTGCATTTTCTCCCTACCCTTTTTTACTGTCTTTTTTTTTTTCTGTGGGAAGTTTAGGCCGATAAGAACTGTTAGAGAGACAGCAGGTACTCTGAACACCACCAGTGGGGATGAGAAAGAAGTCATCAACAGAGACCATCTAACGAGATGAGCCTCGGGTGACTGTACATCTGTGGTATGTCATACCAGTCATCAAAGTTTTATTTACACAGCCAGCTCAGGTACATGCTGAGCTCCATTCAGTCCTGCTACTTTCTGCCTGTGTACCTCCCAGAGACCGAAGAGCTGGAAGGAGGCAGAGGGCACTGGGGGAAGGTCCTCACCCTGATTCGTATGGATGGTGGGATTACGTTCCCATCTGGCTTTACAACCTACAGCAGCCAATTACATCATTCACATTCATTTTTTTTCTCCATTTAATTCTAATCAAAATAACAAACCACTAGATTTTACATCAACTGCCTTGTGCTAGGGAAGATTTTTTTTCTTCTCAGACATAGCAGTCTGCTGAGAAAATGCTACATTATAGATTGCTCATAGCAGAGCTTGTCTGAATTGGCCAAACCAGTGTGGGAACTGTGTTGTTTTTTCGTTACTGTAGGGTTCAGGTATCAAAGTCCACTGTGCCTGAGTTACTATTTAATCGCATAGACACTCTCAAATACATAAATAGGCTGTAATTTAATGTACTGCCTCTAAATTTCCACTAGTGGATTGAGCAATGCCCCTAACCACTGATACACACCACTCCACTCTCTTCCTAAACCAACAAACCCATCAGTTTGTTCCTCTAATCTACTCCTGGCCAAACTGCTAGGCGCTTTGAACAAGATTTACCAAGAATGTGTTTACCCAGTTACCTTACAAGAACATGTCTGCGTGCAAAGAACAGTCCTAAATGATCCCATCACTGAATTTCCTGCGGCAGATGTAGGATTTACTTTACTTGACGTGAACCCTTGTACAGACCCAGATGGAGCAGGAAATGCTACAGAAGTCCTGGTCCTCGGTATCCCACGTAAGCACAACAGGAATTTTTTTGGTTGAAGCAGAAGTGCACAGAAGACGTCAGCTAACAGCTCCATCTGTAGTGAAGATGAAGATGCTCGGCTGGAACGTGGATGCCAGGACTTCGCTTTGCTGGGGCACAGAGTGCGAACTGGGACTAGCTGTCCTTGTAAGAAACTTCTCCTGGTAAGAAACATCTCTGTGACTCAGGTCCAAAACAGAGAATCAAAGTGCAGGCTCTAGTTCACATCTTCCAGAGCTCAGGAGTGTTCAAACCTGTACAGGTACCATTCGGGCACTGAGCATAAGTCTGAAAAAAGGACAGTGCTTTTCCCTGCTGCATGATTTAAATGTGCTGTTTCCTGAACATCAGGATGTGAAGAAGAAAACATTTTCTTGTCGATGGATTGAAACAAAAGACCAAAAGCCACTTTCTCCGAGTTCTGAAAATATGTGTAGTTCTTCCATCAGACCATGAGCAGTGTCACTGGCTGCTCTCACGTGGTTCTGGGGAGCTGGGGCCACGTGTAACACAGAGGGGCATTTACCCATTGCGAGAACACTTGACATGATGCCTTTATTTTCTTAGCATTTCGAAGACTTTTATAAAACTCCATTCAAACCTTGATCTTTAAGTATTTCAGATTTGATTTATGCTTTGAAAATAAGTTTTTTAGAAATTGTTTCTATAACTGATCAGAAGGCAATGGCAAGTTTTTAATGACTTCACCTGCTAATGAGCACTCTTGGAAACTATATCATAAGACACTGCTGAAGTATCTCAGCATGAGTTTTCTGATAAAATGCTTGTAATAAATCATTCAATTTTGCCCACAAGCTACTGTATGCTGGGAAAAGGTTTGAAACCCTATTTCTAAAACATTTTTGAAGGCAACTGTCACTTGGAGTAATACATATGGTTAAAAAAACAGAGACACAGTTACACCTTCGGCTGAGACGTTCACAGGAGTTGACATTTGGGCAACTGCCATTAATTCACTTTCTGATTATTTCCCAGTGATTTTTGACACTTTCTGTCTACAGAGGCTTCATACCATTTCTCCAAATGCACATTCTCACATCTGATACTAGTGAATTTGGTAGAAAAGGTCAGAATCCAACTTCATTGTTTACTAGAGAATTTATTTTTTTTTAAGATTCAAACTGTGAAATCA